AACTCTATAAACACTGAAGGTCTGAGGCAGGCGTGAAAACAAAAGTACAACAAGGGCGACGCGGGACTGTTAGCAGGAATCTGCTATCAGACAAGAATGGGACAGCAGCTGAATTCACGTTATTGTCATTATCCGAGTACAGCAACAACATTTACAGTATCAGAGGGCAGAAAACATATAAGGCTTCCTCTCATTTTTATTCAGTGACAAAGTGTCCTTTCATCAGCTTTTGTCCTTATGCATTAGTTTGTATTTAGTTATCGTCTCGTTTCATCAGAAATAAAGGTGACTGACAGAAGTGTAATGAACGTTTTAGTCAGTGAGATTAACACTGCGTTCAGTTCAGTTTGGATTTAAATGAGAACGATTCATAAAAATCACGTTTGCTGGACAGTCTGTCAGACAGATGTACAGGGTTGCCATGGCAGCAGAGCTGATTCAGTCATTTGGAGAAGACGGACCTCCATCTGCACCACGTACTGGTGCATGATGGGTAACAGTTTGTTTACTGGTCGTCTCCAAAGCTTCTTTTTTTTTTCTTTTTCTTTTTTAACAAACCTTTAAAAAAACATCTGAATTGATTGATAAATCCTTCTGCTCTTTATTTCAGAAACTCTTTGCAGTGATTGGTCCAACACTTAAGGAGGGGAGGAGCCTAACAGGTAACACTCAAAACCACATTTGATCTATTTTTGTCCGTCTTGATATCAAAGCTTTTCATCAATAATCTCTGCATTTCTCTTCGTGGTTAGATGAGAACGTGGTAATGGGGAACAAACTACTCGTGTACATAAGGTAACTCTTGCAAATATCAACTTATTCCTCAGTTTATTGTAGCATAAAGCTCTATTTAGCATAAATGCTACTTTTACTGTGGAAGAGGAGCCAAACGTTTATTGTGATTTTAAGGTCGTGGCTTTAGGTGTGTGCACCTGAGTTGAACTTTTCACAGCCATTAATCTTTGTATTATGTTCACAGTATCTTAACACACCACTGTTTATACATATATCTGACAATATATAGTGTGTGTGTGTGTGTGTGTAGCTGTTGTCTTGCAGGGAGGGCGTATCCACTTGGAGATATCCCAGAAGACCTTGTGGTTCAAGTCAAGAACCAGGTATGCAGATACAGTTTTGGGTGTTTGTTGTACTGATTAACTATGATTATAAATCACAAAGCCTGGAGGTCCATTAATCCTGTGAACGTCTATTATCAGACTGTTGCTCTTGCTAGTTGGTAACAGAAATACTAGCTGGTTAAACACATTTTTTCTGGTTCAGTTCAATCTGATAGCACCGAGTCACGAGACGCTCCAGCAGAGTAAACTGGACATAACCAACCAGCTGTGCTGATGCTAGTGTGTAAGGAAACACGGCTGAGGACAGTTTGAGTGATGTAGCAGAGAAATATAGCTGGTTGGGTCAGTGCCCTCCCAGCCTGTTTACAAAACCAACTGGATGTTTGCCTCATTTCACTGAGTCCTTGATCATCCTCACTATAATAGGGA